CAGACAGATGAAGGACAGGAAGACATGGCTGTGGTCCTCTCACTCCCCCAGGCCAGGGAGCTGTCACAAGTCCACGGCCTGCCCCTCCTGCAGGAAGCAGCCAGGCTGTGCGCAGCCCTCTCGGTGTGGCAGAGGCTCACTCCCAACCCCCTGAGTGCCACCCTGCCTCCACCCTCCCACGCATCCAGGGCGCACACTCGTGTGCTCACCTACACAGGCTCACGTTCTCACACACTCATAGATGCTCAGGGGTCTACGCAGGCCCCAGGCCCTCACACTGATCCCCATACTTACACACTAAGGGTTCTTCACACCTTCACCCAGCTGCTCACACATGGGCATAGCTGTTTACCCGTGTGCAGACTCACACACTGCCAGCTCTCACACATGTACACACGTCGATTAACACTACCTCACACACCCGCTGCCCTGTGCCTGTGACACAAAAGCAGCACGCCGGGAACCCGCTCTCTGGAGGGCGGTGAGCTGGCCGACCCACAGGTGAGGTGGATGGCCCTGCTGGGCAGTAGTCTGGGCATAGCAGGTTCCAGCAGTCACTGGCCAAAGGCTACCTACCCTGCAGCCTGGGGCATGCCCAGTAGAGCAGGCAGGCTGGGTCCTCGGGGCCTGTAGCTGCTGTGGGACCCCTTGTCACCCCTGTGTCCCCTCTCTGGATCACCTGTTCTGAGCTCCGTGCTATCCCCTGCCACCTTCCAGTTGCTCTTCTTTCTACCCTGCATTTCTACTGAGGCCACCAGATACGACCTGGGGCAAATTGTGGAGCTGGCTCTTTATCGTTGGCTTGGAGGCCTGGGAGTGGCTGTGACAGCAGAGAGAAGAGACTCCCTTGGGGCTGTCACTGCCTGCTCTCAGGGACCAGGGAACATACTGATGGTCCATAGGGCATGCTCACTTAACTGGTGGCTGCTGGCCACGTGGTGGGGTTGACACTGGCTCTCAAAGTCTGGCTCCCTGAGGTCTATAATACAGGCCCTTCCCCGCAGGGAAGGAAGCAAATGGGGGAGAAAATCTGAGCTGGGGTCATCTGCTGGCACCCCTCTGCCTCTTGCCCTAGCTGGGCACTGCCCAAGGCCAGCCCAGACAACAGCTGGCCTTGCCGCACAACTTTGTGATAAGTCCTCCCCAAAACAAGATCAGAGAGCCAGGGCACAAAGTATTGTGCAAGTCCCCAGCCCTAAGGAAGTTCTGGTCCCCAAGTCAGTAGTGACCAGGAGGGGGAGTGTCCCCCTTTCGTGGGTCCTGTCGGTTGGACCCTGGCCTGGGACTGGGAGCGAGGGGGCCTGTGTCTGTGCTGGCTCTCACTCACTGCTCTTCTTGGTTCCTCAGGCTGAAGAAGTGGGCAGGGAGAGCTTGCTAGAAAGTTCTTCTGTCTCCTGCCCTGGAAATACTTAGGAAGCTGGTCCCAGGGGAGTCCCTGCTGCCCCGTGTCCTCCCCTGCCCTGCTCCTCCTCTCCTGTGATCCCATCCCTACACCCTTGGTGCCCTGGACCTGCCTCCTCAGGGACCCCAGGCCCCCTCTGGCCTGCACCCCTCTAGTGCTTTCCATCCCTTACTCTCCTGGCCCAGCCTCCAGGCCATATGCCCCCCCACCCCCCCAATGGCAAGTGTCCTCAGAAGAGAGGCGGGAAGCCATGTGACAGTGGAAGCCGGAACACCCACAGTCACCTGAAGCTGGAAGAGGCGGGAGGGATTCTCTCCCCGATCTTCAGAGGGAGCGTGGCCCAGACCACGCTGGTTTTCTGGCCCCTGGAATCGGGAGGGAAGAGATGCTTGCAGCTTTAAGCCACACAGCGGGTGCTCATTTGTCACAGTAGGCCTAGGCCACTCACACAGCCCCAGCTGGGCCACCGAGGGTGCCGCCTTGCAAAGCCTGTGCGCTGTGACTCTTCAGTCTCCTGGCCTGCTCAGCCTCAGTAGAACTCCATCCCTGGGGCTCTGGAAAGCTCTGGTAGGCTGTGAGGGCTCGTGTGTGTGTGTGTGTGTGTGTGTGTGTGTGTGTGTGTGTGTGTGCTCGTGCGCGCGCGCGCAAGTGGACACACGCATGTGCAGGGGCTCCCCTTGTGGGCGTGGTTCCAGCCTTGAGGGCTCAGTCCCTAGGACACTACCTGCACTCTGGCTGTCTCTCGTGCAGTGGGCACCGGGGCCCTTCATTGCCCAGGCATGTTGGGGTTCTCTAGGCCCTGGGGGTCTGGGCCTTGCCCAGAAGCCAAGGGAGACAAGGGGTCTCCCTGCCGGTAGTACCCTGACCGCGGGTGTGGAAAAGAGGGGGCGAGGCCTCTTCCTCGGGCCCTTGCCCTCCTGAGATGACACCCTAGAACCCACAGGGGCAGTGACGGATGAAAGCTGTCCCCAGGTTCCCAGAGCAGCTTTGCAGCTTCAGGCTGCCCCAGGGCCACTCACCCCACTCTGGCCTGGGCCTGGCCCGCTGCCCTCCGACAAGCCCTGGCTTGTCTAAAACCAAGCAGTGGATTTGGCTTAGGCTCCAGCTGGGCCGTGCCACGTCCAGAAGGCACCTGACCTGCACAAGTGCTCGGAAAGGTCCTCTCTCCCACCCCCAGGCTCCTCCCGGGTTGCCCCTTAGCAGCTCCCCTGTGTACAGAACAGCTGTCCCCACGCAAGCCTCTCCCGTGACACACAGTACTATGCATGTACTTGTGCACGCACATGGATGTGTGTGTCCCTCTGTGTGTTCACGTGTGTTGGCGTGTTTCTGTGTGCATGGGGATATGTTCGTATGTACATGTATGTGTTAGTGTGTGCGCAAGTGTGGATGTTTGCCTGACTGTATGAATGTGTGTAGCTCTTTGTGTTTCTGCGTATGTATGTGTGTTTCTGTGACTGTATACACACTTGTGTGTCCATGTGTATGCGTCAGTGTGTGGCTGTGTGTAGCTGCATGTTTCTGTATATGTGTGTTGTGTGTTCATAGGTACATGTGCATGCACGTTTGTGTGTGTGCAAGAGTCTGTATGCGTATGTGTATTTTGCATGCATGTGTGTGCGTGCGTGTGCGCATGTGTCTCATGTGGTCTGCTGGCTGCCCCAACTGGCCCCCGCCCCGCGCTGCAGCCCCCAGGTGGCTCTCTTCTTCCCACCTGTGTCCCACCAGGCACCCCGACCTGGCAGTCCTGGCTGAAGTCCATGTCCCCAGCCTGCCCACTCCCTTTTGCTCCACATCCAACCTGTCCCCAAGCTCAGGGGCTCCTACTCAAGCCCAAGGTGGGCTGGACCGTGTCCCCTGGCTCCACGCACGGCTTCCCGAGATTGAAGCTGCCACCGGGAATCACTCTCCGCTCCAAGCCACCTGCGTGTGAGTGTGAGCGTGAGTGTGGGTGTGGAGGGCTGCTGGCTCACAGGGGTGGGTTTTCTGTAGATTAACGTTATCATCTAATAGTTTGCAACATACTTCGTAGAGTGAGGCTAAGGGACTCACGCTCACACTTCGGGCCAAACCAAGCGCTCTGTGACCCACAAGCCCCAGGCGCTGGCCTGGATGGCCCTTTGCCCTGGCCTGGGCAGTGTGGTGCCCCTGTCGTTGTAGCACAACCTCCTCACTGCGTCCCGAGCTGAAATGAGAGGCTGGCAGAGGAAAGAAGGGCAGGCGGGCTCGGGGCCTGCCGGGCCTGGCTCTGGCTACCCCTCCTCCCTGCCAGTGAGGGGACTTGACCGCGGCCCTGACTCCTGGTCCCCAGCCAGTGCCTTTGCCCTGTGCCTGCCCAGCTCAGCAGAGGTCGCCAGGCCATGGAGCACATGCCCCAGAATAGTGCTATGATGCTGCCGAGTGACATTCTATCGCTAGGCCACCACACTGAGCAGTGTCCACCAGCCCAAAAAGGAGAAACCGGGGGCCACTGGGCGTCCTGCACACCAAGCCCAGGGTAAGGGCACGGCTGCGTGCAGGGAGCCACGCCAGTGCCTCTGGGATCTGCGTGCCTGGACTCTCATTCAGGCAGGCCTACTGGCTGCCTGTGGCTACCAGGGAAGGCCCAGCTTCCACCTGCGGAGAGGGGACCTCGCCTGTGGGATACACAGGGAAATCTGTGGGCCCAGCCTGGGGCCCCTGCAGCCTGCTGGGCCTGCCTCCAAAAGGCGCTGCTCTGGGGACTGTCCCTTTCTAGGGCAGCTGTGTGTCCCTGCTAAGCAGGCTTCCCTGGCCCTGAGCTAGGCCTTCTTTCAGGGTACCCAGTGGGGCTTTAGGGGCACAGGGCCCAAAGAGAGCAGCACACTGCCCTGAGCCTGGGGGCCCTGTCCCTTCTGCTCCTCGCGGAGCGGGGCCACAGGGATTGTGCACTCTCCACTCTGGGAGGGCAGATGACAATGTGGGCCCAACCTGCTCCGGAGCCAGACTAAGGACAGCTTGGAAGAGAGGGGCATGCCCAGGGGCTGGGCCTTCCACCTTTTCCCGCCCCGGGGCCCTGAGGGTGACAAGGGCCCTCTTCTGAGGGCAGGGTCAAAGAAGAGGAGGCACAGCACCTCAGAGACGCATAGCCCGGGAGGCGGCCAGAGGTAGCCCCTTATGTCTCTGCCCCCTGCTTGGTCCCTCAGGTGCCGCCCCAGGAGCAGGGGCACATGGAGCCATATTGCACAGTGTTTCTTTAATTGAAGGACAACCGACCTCAGAAGCAGCCCTCCTTGAGCTGGGTGTGACTGACACCCCGCCACAGCAGGGGCCGGAAGGCGAGGGGGGACTAGCCATCAAGGGAGGGCTCTGGTGGCATACTGATCCTCCTCGGGGACAGAGGAATCACTTCTCCATGGTGGCGCGTGGCTGCCTCTCTGGGAAATCTGCACAGGTCTGGCCTCCACCTTCCCACCTCCTTGGGGGCAGAACAAGACTGGGGTGTGGCTGGCTCCCATCTATTTGGGCAAGGGCCTATGACAGCAGAGCTAGCCCAGGGCTGAGGGTCAGGGTGTGTGTGTGTGTGTGTGTGTATATGTGTGTGTGTGTGTGTGAGAGAGAGAGAGAGAGAGAGAGAGAGAGGGAGGGAGGGAGGGAGGGAGAGAGAGAGAGAGAGAGAGAGAGAGAGAGAGAGAGACAACAACAAAAACAAATCCAGGTCCAGGAGTAAGCAGGTCACGGAGCCCCAAAGGGAGAAATACATCAGGAAGCACGATAGATGGAAGGGGAGAGGGACAGGGAGACGGGGCTGGCTGTGACAGACAAGCCGTGAGCTTGGTGAAGCGGGCGCCCCGAAGGCCGGGGGCCCTGGAGGCTGGGACAGGTGAGGAGGAGAAGGAACATGAGCCCGGGCAGGGAACCCCTGTCTCCGTCCCTACCGACGCCCCTCGCCACACACCCACGGGCCGGTTCACTAAGGGTGGGGTTTCAGGGTGAACAAGAAAAAAGCTTCTCAGGGGTGCCTCTGAGTGGCCACAGTGGGTAAGCAGGGCAGCTCTGAAGCCAAGGGTACAAGTGACAGGGCCAGGCCCTGAATCCACCTGCACGCTTGGGAGCCAGGGAAGGCAGGGACTTGGGGCAGGGGAGCACAGGTGAGGGGCTGCACTCTTCACTCAGCGCCCTCCAGGACAGCGGGCTCTGTTCCCTGTGGTGGTTGCCACTGCCTCTACTTCTTGTAGTTGCCAAACTGGATGGCCAGGCGGTCGGTGACACAGCGGAAGGTGGCCGGCTGCACCTCCCAATAGGGCACAGGGTTGTGGAACAGGCTGATGCCATTGTAGTAGGCCCGCTTGACGCCGAAGCCCATGGGACAGAAGTCATTGACGCCCACTTTGGTGATGTTGTTGGAGTGCAAGTAGACCACCTGGGGACAGACGGACAGGGTCAGTGTGCACTGAGGGCCGCGTCGCCCCAGAGGGCCCTCTCCACCCCTTTTGGCCTGGGAGGGTGCCGTGGGTGCTGACGCAGGAGGGATCCCACAGGTTGGGAGGTGGAACCTGAGGCTTGGGCAACGGGCAGGCGTTGGCCAGGAGTGCGCCTCTGGTGTGTGACCAGGGACCAGGACTCGGAGCTCAGGTGGGGTACGTGGGGAGGGGTGGGACTGTGTTGGTGGCTCCTGGCATGATGTCTATGCAGGAAAGGAGGCACCTTGGGCTGACACAGGGCTCCGGGCCCTCCTCCGGTTTCCCTTGATGGGGCACCAGAGGAGAAAGCCTTCAGAATGCCCTCCTGTCCCTCCCGGTCCTCGAGAACTTCCGGCCTCTAGCAGCAGCCCCTTACTCCTGGAAAGCGCTCTCTTGGGGAGGTTAGTGGGGGCCACCGAAGCCCGTCGGCAGCAGAGGCGGCCAGCCGCTAGAGGGCGCACTCAGCCTGGCGTGGGCCGCTGCGCTGCCCCAGGAGCTGCGGGGCCAGGTTGTGGGACATGACCAGGCGTGGCTGTGCAACTCCAAGTGGGGCAGAGGAAGAGACTGAGGCCCAAGCAGGGCTGGGCAAGTCCAAGTCCACCTCTTCGGCTGGAGCACCCAGACAGCCTCATACATGGAGGGTGGCATGGTCCAGAGACTGCGACAGAGGGAGTGGGGACAGAGGAGTGGGACCCAGAGTAGCCTGTGCAGCCTTCCCTGCCCATCCCACCTGGAGGAGCTTGAGGTCAGGAAGCCCGGCAGGCACCCGGGACAGCTTGTTGTTGTTCAAGTGCAGCTCCCGCAGGGTAGGCAGGAAACTCAGGCTCCCGTTCTCGATCATTCGGATTTGGTTGTGGCCCAGGCCGAGCCTGTGGATGGGGTGATGACAGTGCTCAGAGGCTGTGGGGCAGAAGGATGGAGGCACGCGGCCCCCGTGCTGCTCCTGCTGCCTCCCACCTGTACAGCTTGGAGTAGCGCAGCAGGTCCTCTAGCTCGATAGCCTGGATTTTGTTGTGGTCCAGATGGAGCTCATTCAGTGTCTCGGGGAGGTCTGCCGGGAGAGAGAGGGCTCGAGGTGAACATGGGGGCTGGGGGAGCGTGGGGAGCGGAGGGCCCCGCCGAGTCCTGCCTACCTTTGGGGATACCGGTGAGCTTGGCCTCAGAGATGCGCAGGTAGTTGAGCTTCAGGCCATCGAAGGCTCCAGGTTCAAAGCCGCTGTTCTCCAAGGGGTTCCCGCCCATCTCTAGGAGACAGGCCCTGTCAGCCCTGCTGGTTGCCAGCCCTCGCACCCACCGCCTCCCCCGGCCCTGACCCTAGCCTTGGCCACTGGGGGCAGGGAATCCAGAGGAAGGGGACGCCCAGAAATGAAGACGGGGCTGCCACAAGCCGTCGGCCCCTCTGGCAAGCACCAGACCCTCTCCCTTTCCTCTCTGCTGGCCCAGTCATCATGGACACTCCCTTCAGCTGCAGTGGTCACCCATGCTGAGAGTTTGCTGGGAAAGACACCCAACTTTCTTTAGGCTGTTTTCAAGTCTCTTGAGCTGAGGCTGTAAAGCCACCCGAAGTTGTAATCCCAGCTGTCTGGGAGGCTGAGGCAGGAAGATTACAAGTTTGAGCCTTGCCTCTGCAATTTAGCCAGATCTTCTTTCAAAGAAAAAATAAAATAAAATAAAATAAAATAAAATAAAATAAAATAAAATAAAATAAAATAAAATAAAATAAAATAAAATAAAATAAAATAAAATAAAATAAAATAAAATAAAATAAAATAAAATGGCTGGGCATGTAGCTTAGTGCAAAGACCCTGGGTTCAATCCCCAGGAATACAAAAATAAAATAAAATAAAGCCACCCCCAGTCTCCTTCCATCAGGCCCTGGCACAAGTGTGCAGGACATTGTGCGAGGCTGCCCCATGTCCCTGACCCCTCTGGGCCCACGCTTTCGGACAGGGAGGGGGCGTCACCGATGCAGTTCATGTTTCGGAGCCCGCTGAATACGCCCTTGGGCACTTTCCGGATGCGGTTGTCGTGGATGCGCAGCTCCACCAGGGAGCTGGGCAGGTTGGGCGGGATCTCCACCAGATGGTTCTTGGAGATGTACAGCTTCTGCAGCTTTCGCAGGGGGCTGAAGGCCTTCTCATGGATCTTGGAGATCTTGTTGTTCACCAGGACGAGGGCCTGTGGATGGCGGGCGACTGAGGGAGGCCCCCGGTCCCCAGTCCTCTTCCTCTACCTCCCCTGCTCCCTGTCCTGCCCACGACAGCGGAGCTGAGCGCGCTTGGCCTCAGGGTGGATTTGTGCTTGCAGCGGAGTGCGGGGCAACGAGCTCACCAACGCCGCTACCACCCAGCACTGCCTGCTGCTGCTCCCAGCCCCAATTTCCTCCTGGCGCACTGGTTACAATGAATCTGCTCTTTCCATGTTGCTAGGACGAACCAGTATGAGAAGAGTTCTGCTGAGAAGGGACCCAAACTGAGTGAGCTTTTTGGTTTCTGAGACGGGGTCTCACTGTGTATGCAGGCCGACCTTGAGCTCACTATGTAGTTCAGGCTGGCCTTGACTTTGCAGCAGTCCTCCTACCTCCGCCTCCCAGTGCTGGGACGACAGACATGCGCCACCACGCCCTGCTTTGTGACCTGGAGGATCTTGTCCTGCACCTACACACAAAACCCGTGACCTTGGGAGCCCTGGCCACCTGTCACGCCCCAACTTCTCTCCAGACTCAGCAGTGTCTGGACCCTTCTCGTGTCCCACACGGAACCCCCATCCTCCCTGCTCGTCAGCGTGGGAGGCAGCAGAGGCCTTACGTAGAGGTGCTGGAGGCCTTTGAAGTCATCCTTGCGGAGCTCAGAGATGTCGTTGTTCTGCAGGTCCAGCAGCGTGGTGTCTGGGGAAATCTCCTTGGGCACGTTCTTCAGACCTGGGGGCCCGACGCATCGCCAGCGTGAGCACCAGCCCCCAGCCTGCTGGCACGCTGGTGTGGAAGGGTGGGGCCACACGCGCACGGGGTTCTCGCACCAACGCAGGCACCCTGCCGCAACCCCGTGTCCTCCCTCGCTTGCAGCCACACTGCCCTCCCTCACCCACCCCACAGGACTGACGGGCGCCCCAGCTGTCCAGGACTGACCCAGGTCCGAGCACTGAACAACTCGCAGGTGGCAGTGGCAGCCAAAAGGACATATGGCGCTGTAGGTGGGTGTCACGGAGTCCATGTCTGGGGCTCCAGAAGTGCTGTCGACACCTGAAGCCTCCTCATCATTCATGAACAGCCCGTCATCCAGGGCGAAGTCCCAGAAGCCCTTCTGCTCAAAGGGCAGGGCCTGGCCCAGCGCCAGCAGGGCTGCCAGGAGCCACAGGGGCTGCATGGTGCACGAGCCTGGGGGCCAGGGCGAGAAGGGGCCGCCATCAGCCCTTTGAAGCCCAACTTCCCCCGCCGCGTCCCCATCCCTCTCCAGGGGCAGCCGGAGCCAGGTGGGAAGCAGCTGCGGGACGGCTGTGGGCATGCGCCGGCTGGTAGGGCGTCTCTTTCCACACCTCCTCTCCCAGGCAGGACTTGGTTTGTTTGATCAGGTCTCAGAGCCTGCTCTGGAGGGGGCGGTCAGTGAGGCCTGGAAGAGGCGGAGGCGAAACCTAGCCATCGGCCTCATGGGCCACCCAGACTGATCACTTCCCGGAGTTCAGGGCTCAGGGCAGTTGGGTTTCGATTAGCTAAGCTGGGCGACCGTGAGTCATTCCCTTCCCTGCCAGAGCCCCTCCGCCATGCCCACATTTCTCACAGAGGCCAAGGCACAGGAGCAGGTTGGGGAAGAGAGACATCCCCAGAGGCCTCGGCAGCCGTCAGTGAAGGTCGCTCCCCTCTGCTCCAGGGACCTTGGTCTCAGTGCCCCTACCCTTCCCGTGCGCTCACACCCGGCGTCCTGCAGAGCCCTGAGTGGCGCAGGCTGCCGCTGGGCGGTAGGGCAGGGTCAGGCTTGTCTGAGACCCCCCAGGCCCAGGCAGCGGGATGTGCGTGGAGAGAAGCTGCCCTGCCCAAGCCTGCCCCGGCAGCCTACGTCTGCCCGTCTCCTCCTCCCCATTCAGATGCTGCCCCCGACCCAGGGCTGGTCTGTACCTCACCCTACCAGAAAAGGCTCCAGGCCCTGACTCCCTGGCCAAGGCCCTGCTCTGTTCCAGCCTCATCTCCCGACCTGTTACATGGGGGCAAACATGTGCACCCTGCTGGCTTCCCATGCCTGGGTGTCTGCGGCTGCCAGGTACAGCCGGGTACCAGGGCTTCCCGCACAGGCGAGCTACCTGAGCCCAGCTTCCCTCTCACATGGGCAGCTGGACAGGGTGCTGGCCCCTGGGGTCACAGGATGCCCCCTGCTGGGGGTGTGCCCAGCCTCCCTTGCTCCTTGGAGCCTAGAGATGCCCTGATCACACCCCAGGGCCCTGCCACGCTGGCCCAGCAGGAGCTGGGGACCCTCCCAGAGTGGTGGGCAGACTCTCGTTCACCTACCTAAGTGGTGCTCCCCTTCTCTCCCTCAGTTTGCAAGCTCCAGGGCAGGGCAGGGCAGGGCAGGGCAGGGCAGGGCAGGGCAGGGCAGGGCACGTGAAGGGCCGGGACCTGGACACAGGGGCTGGGGAGGAGCAGGGCAGCAGGAGGCAGGAAGAGGAGGACAGAGTGGCTGGAGGCAGGAGAACGAAGAGGACTGGGAGAAAGGGAGGACCCAGCCCCCCCCCCCGCCTGCGTCTGCCACCTCAGAGGGCATGAGTCAGGCTGGCACCCACGTCCACCCGGGCAGGCGAGGTCTGGAGATAGAGGACCATCGACCCGCTAGCAGCCCAGGGTCCTAGATCCACACAGTGCCCGGCAGGTCTCCACCTCCACAGGGTGCCCCTAGGGGGCAAGGTGGGCAGCCTGTTGGGTGGCCTCCCCTCCCCCAGGGGAGAGGGTACACAGGCACTGGGTACCAACCTTGGGGTCAAGGACCCTTGAGCAGCTGTGTCTGATGTCACAGTGGGGGTGTCTCAGAGAGGGGTGCAGAGAGGAGCCCTGCCCTTTAGCCTCAGTTTCAGCTCAGCTGCCCTGAAGTGGGGAAGGCAGGGCTCAGAGGTCCTGTCCACCAGGGCCTGTGATGGAGCGGGACAGGGTTTGGCGGGGTTTCTGTGGCCCATAGCTCAAGGGTGGGGGCCAGGCGGCTTTCCGGCATAGCCCTCCTTTCCCTCAGAGAACTGGCACCGCTCTCACTCGGTGCCCGGAATGCCATGAGGGAGGGGGTAGGCCAGACATGGAGGGGCCATGACAGAGCTAGAGACCCTGGAGCACCCTGGAAAAATCAGGATCCGCACTTTAAGGATAAGCCAGCCGAGGCCTAGAGAGAGGGGTTTGCTTCTCCCAAGACTCGGCTCACTTGGCCTGAGACTTGTGCCCAAGTCCCTTACTGAGTAGGTGTGTTGTGGGCAGCGGTGGCCAGTGGGTGGGGGGCCCTGGGCCTGCCTGGGGGCAGTGTGCCAGAGTCCACACTCACATTGCAGGCCTGATGGAGGAGGCTCCCACAGAGACACGGACACCTTGGGCAAGTACCTCCCACCCTCTCCCGCCCCCACCGGGGGCCTCTGGGCCTCAATTTCCCCGCAGTGGCCTCCCTGGGCATGTCCTGCGGCCCCATCAAAGTGCCCTCTGAGCTCTCTGGGTGCTCCCTACTCAGAGCAAAAGAAAGAAGTGGTCGCGCAGTGAGGCTGGCGCAGGGACCGCGGGTGTGAGTGGGGAAGGGCCCTCCTCCTGGGATGCTGCTGCCACCCCAATAGGGCTCTCCTTGTCTCCCCTCTGAAAGCCAGCGCAGTGCTGGGCGCAGGATTGCTTCGGGTCACAGCCAAACAAGACGCGCTGGCAGCCTCTGAGAACATGGAGGGGCTGTGCCAGGCATTCAGGCCTGGCCAAGGGCGGCGGGCGCAGGGCTTGAGGTCTGGCTGGCCTGGGAACATGCCTGCAGATGTGTGGCTGGTGGCTGCCAAGGAGCCGACGCCGGGCGCAGTCTCTGCGGCCTAGGCCCCGGGCTGTCTGGCCCCACTGCGCAACCTGACCTGAACCCTGACTTGTGGGCCGCAGCCCACTCAGCCCCTGCCCTGGACGGCTGCAGGCTGCGCTGCAGTGTGAAGCACAGAGGAGGAATACGCACTGCTCCTAGGCAGAGTGCATGCTTGCTTGTGCAAGTGTGCCTGCGTGCAGAGACGGGGACAGCCCCATCTGACTCGGGCCGTCCTCTGAGCCCATGGATTTTGCGGTGAGAGCAGATGCCCGAGTGCAAGGGCCAGGGCAGCTCCTCCCCGCTGTGGCCCTGGCACTCCTAGGCACAGCTGGGTCCTGCACTGCAGGACACTTGGGGGACAGGCTGGACCTGGACCTAGGTGCCAGAGGCTATGAAGGGCTGGCACCTGGGAGATGTCAAGGTGGCTGGGTGCATCGAGGCAAAGCCTTCTCTCCTCTGCCCCACTCTGCCAAAAAATCTCTGGAAAGGAGCCGGGCAGAGCTGCCCTCCCTCCCTGGAGAAATCTGGGCTCCTGCTTGCCATGCATTAGAGCCTTTGAGGAAGGGGAGGGTGCTCTCACCTCCTAGGGATGCAGCAGGAGACGTGAGTGATTTATCTAGCTACCCTTCTCCTCTGTTGACCAAAAGAAGGACAAGACCCTTTTGACACTTGGTGAAGGGGTAAACGGAGGCTTGGAGAGTTTCCCCAAAACTCTTGGCCAAGGCCACATACCTTGGTACTCAGTGCATTTTGACGTGAAAGTTGCGCCCTGGTACACGTCATTTGTTCCGTACTAGACGTGCAAGCCAGCACTCGCTGGTGTCAATGGCCTGGTGACTCGCTGCCCCCTCCCTTGGAAGACAGCAGGGAGGCTAGAAGCTGGTCCCTCCGCAGGAAGCCCTTCCAGCCCATGGGAGGACAATCGAGGCTGAGCGGGTATTCAGACTTCTGGAGGACAAAGGAAGTGGTCCCAGGGTCTGCCCTCTGCCTCAACCTCCCGTGGGGCTCTTCACAAAATCCCCAACCTGTGGCAAACCAGGCCTTGGCCCCCGTGGACCAGCCAGGGCTGGGTCGGCCAGCAGCTCCCAGTAGAGAAGCAGCAGCGAGCTCGAGTTGTGGCTCAGCTCTGCTGGTGCTGGCCCTGCTGGGGTCCAGGAGGTGGACCAGGAGAAGGCAGTGTGAGCAAGCCAGGAAGAGCCTGAGTCCCAACACAGGAGGAGGAGTCATCACAAGGAAGGGGCAGCACCCTGCCCTCAGCTGTGCGGTTCCAAAGTCCCTCTGTGGCCACCCAGGGGCTGGCCTGGAGCTATAGAGGGTGGGAAAAGAAGGTAAAGGCCAGTGTGGGTGCTGAGGCGACACCTGAGCGCCAGAGGTACTCAAGGATTCCCCCTTGTCGGGTGAGAGGATGTGGGCTCCCAGTGAGGGAAAGGAATGGAAGGCCTGGAAAGGAAGGGGGACAAAGTCCAGCCCCCACTTCCCAGGTGGTGGCCCCATACACCCTGCACCTTCCCCCAAAGAACGCCGGGACGCTGGTGCTTTCTGGAAAGCTGGAGAAGGGCCGGGCTGAGTGACAGCACCACTCCCCCTCAATGGCTGTACCCCTCGGGCTCCCACTGACTGGTCTCAGTAAGATCCGCGGAGCCTGAGTGGTGGCGCACCCCTGTCATCGCAGCACTCGGGAGGCTGAGGCAGGAGGCTCCCAAGTTCCAGCCCAGTCAGGTCAACCTGGCCAAATCCTGAGTCAGAAAAAGGAAAACTAGTAAAGGTCTGCGAATGTAGGTCACTAGGAAGGCCCTGGGTCCAATCCTGGTACCTGGTACTGGGAGTGGGGGGTGGTTTGCCAAGGGCTCAGTAGGTGGTCCAGGTGTGGCATGGCCCTGACCCCACCAGCCCAGTATCTGAGCACAAGAGGATGGAGATCAGAACCACATGGGCCGCTCCACCCAGGCCCAAGGGGAGCAGGGTGAGGGCAGAGCCAGGGCCAGAAGGAGCCCAGCTCAGCCAGCCTGAGCCCTCGGCCTGTGGCCAGGCGCCCAGGGAGAGGCCCTGGGTGCGGGTGAGGTCCCTGTGCTGGCGGTGGCCCCAAGGTGCCCACGGTGGGGGCTGCTGCCGTTTCTGGGTGGGGGTGGAGCGGGGGAGAGGGCCGAAGTGGGGGGATTGGTCAGGCGTGCTGGAAGGGAGGGCCGGTGGAACCCCAGCAGGTGCGGCCTGAGAGGCCCCTGGGGCTGGGAATCTTGTGGCATGGGACAGACCTGCCTGTGCTGCACAGTCTCTTTGCGGTGGGCTCAGGAAGCAGGGAGACCAGGGTGGTGTCCCCCAGCCCTTGCACAAGATGCTAAGGAATGAGACATCTTCTCCAAAGGTGCCAGATGTGAACTGTCAAGTGTGGCCTCGTTACAAATCCTCTCTCTGGGCATTTGTTGCTAAAGGAGACTGTCCTCTTGCCCCAAAACTGTCCCAGAAAAGATCCTTGGGAGGGCTTGGGGAAAGGTTTGCCTGAGGCCTGAAAGACGTCCTGCTCAACGGGCAGAGGCAGGCGTCCTTCCTCTCTGGCCATCTCTCTGGGCAAGGTACAGAAGCAGTGGGGGAGTCGGTCCCCACTGCGATCCAGGTCCTTGGGGCTGGAAGGTGGGCCAGGGATGCCAGGCTGACGTACCCAGTTGGTTATTGGCCACTGGAGACCCCTCTGCCCCTGGCCTGGAGCCCGCAGGGAGCCCTGAGTCTGTCTGTCACCGCAGCTACACAGCCTCGTCCATAGTGCCCATATGTGGTCACGTGCCACACAAAGGTGTCCCTGCCTGCCCAGCAGCTCTTCCAGGGTGCGGTGACACAGGTAGCTGGTGTCACCAGGAGGCACTCGCCTGCACTCTGGATGCAGGTCCCCCTGGGAACTTTCCTGGCCCCTGGGGTGCATCCTTAGTTCCTCTCAATCCAATTGTTCTTTACAGGGCAGGGGGCTGGCGAGCCAGAGAGGGGTGAGGCGCAGAGAGCAGCCCCTGCAGGCAAGACCTCTGCCTGTTGGAGAACAATGTCACCTGCCTGAGAGATCTGTCCCCACCTGTGGCCTTGCTCTACAGGGTCCTGGGCTTTTTGCTCTGGAGGGATGGCCCTGGCCCTGCCCATGGGACAGCAAGGGGTGGTCCCATTCTGCAACCTCCCAGGGCACTCGGTGGACACCCAAATGGCTATGCACTCTCTTGTTCCCTTCCCTGAGGGTCCCACGCCAGGTCTGCCCCCAGACTTGGCGCAGTTGCCTGATTTCCACCACCACCCCGCCCATCCTGAGTCCTGATCTCAGAGGGTTCAGGGTACAGACGGGGGGCTCTGTGGAACCGAACCTTGCCCGGGAGGCAGTAGAGGCAGAGTTTGCCCCGGATGAGTGAGGAATATCTGGGCAGGGTGCCTGGGGTGTGCCTGGGAAACCAAGTCTGCCCATGCCAACGACTAGCCTCGGCAGAGGGGGATTGCCCAGGGCTGAGTTTGCAGGCGCCAGGGCTCCCCCCAGTCCCGCCACAAAGCCCCAGTGTGAGGCTGGCCGAAGCCACGAGACAGGGCCCTAGGTAGGACTAGGGTGCCAGCCGCCCACACATGCCTCGGGGACACTCTGGGCAGCAGCCACCCCCACCCTGCCCCAGAGGCAGGGAGAGCAGAGAGGGCCAGAGCTGAGCAATTGAGGTCAGAAGGGACCGAGAAATGGGGTGGGAGGAAGGTGCTTGGAAGACAGTGTCAGAGGAGTGGCAGAAAGGGGCAAGGACCAAGGGGACCACAGGGTGGCGATGAAGGGGCACAGACCAGGAGCCTGCAATTCGCGTCCTGGAAATCCGCAGGAGCCGAGGGGGGAAGGCGTACAGGGGGCAGTGTAGCTGCTGGGGACAGCAGAGACAGCAGGGCTGGTGGGGCCAGCAGAGTCACGGGCATCTCCAGGCTGCTGAGGGATGGTGGAGCCAGGGACGAGACAGCGAGGGCAGCTGGAGGCGAGGGCGGGATGGCAGGACAGTGCAGCGCTAGCGCGGGCCCTACCTGCAGGGAAGCAGCCAGGTGCGGACTGGCCAGTTGGTGGGCTTGGGGCTGTCCGTGTGTCTGCTGTGTCTGTCCGTCAGGCAGGGCCGGCCGGGAGCAGCTGCTCACTCCTGGGCAGTTGGAGGAGAGAGGGAGAAGAGGCGGTGGGAGGGAAGCTAAAGGCTGGGCGGGCGGGCCAATGAGGGAGGGGACCGCGAGGGGGCGGGGAGGGAGGCCCGAGGAAGGAGGGGGCTGGTGGAGGGAGCGGGAGGGAGGGAGGGCGGACGAAGGGGACAGGCTTCCCGCCCCCCTGGCAGCTTCAAAGGGAGCAATTTTCTTGGAGAAGGCTGGGTTAGCTGCACCCCTCCCCCTTACGCCCCTGTCCCCCCCGCCCCCCGCCCCAGGACACCGGCTCCTGGCCCTCACTCTGGAGGACCCCTGCCTTAGGGAGTCCAACTTTCCACTGCCCAGGTGGGGGCACTGAGGTGCTTGCTGGCACCCTGCGGGGAGGAAGAAAGTGAGAGGTAGAAAATGGAAGGGGGATAAGGGGGAGGTGGCCTTTGGATTCTGTCCTAAGCCCGCCCCCCCAACCTCCTGAGGCCTGGGCTGCAACGAAGGCTGGTTTCCTTGGGCTTGGAGAGGTGGCCAGGCCTTGTGGGTTTTGGGAAGCGCCCTCCACATCTTCCCCCCACACCCAGCCTTTCCCTCCATCCCAGTCCCGTAGACAGAGGCTATGGTCGCATGGGGAGCCAGCCTGGGGCAGGCAGGAGCGTACCACAGACCCTGGGGGTTCCCAGCTTGCCTGGCTGAGAGAGGTTAAGGAGCAGGAACTGACTGCGGGGACAATGAGTCACCCTCCTTACTCTGGTGAGGACAGCAGATGATGATCCCCAAAGGGACACTTCCTCTGCTCATTTTCAGGGGCTCACTGGCTCAGCCTGCCAAGCCCTGGCCACTTCCTGGGGGCCCCGGTGAGCCCAGCTTGGCCTGTGTCTGGCCTCCTGGCTCCTAGAGCCCCACTTCCTCACTCCCACATCCGTCCCCAGCCGCTCCATAGACAAAGGATACTGGACCAGTGACTCTGAGAGCTGCAAAAGAAGTGGGGACAGAGACAGGGTTAAACCCAACTAGGTCAAGCTGACAGGGGCCGAGGTGGCGCTACGGCCAGGCACAGCCAGGGACCAGGGGGCAGGGGCGCGGGCTGAGGGGCTCCACCCACCGGAGCAGAGTGGCAGTCAGTTATGGGTTGGGGTCTGGAAGGTCCGACGCCAAGGGCAGTCCCTCCCATGAGGGTCTTGCCAGGGCCGAGCTCTGCTTGTCGGTGGGCAGGCGAGAAGCTCCCTTGGTTCGCCTGGGATGGGCAGGCTGGGAGGTGGGAGGTTGCCTGCCTCTACGGGCCAGCGGCTGGCTCAGCTGCTGGCTGCTTCCTGCTCTCTACATTTTCATTTCATTTCATTTTTTCCACGCGGGGCTTGGGCCCAGGACTGCATCCCAGCCCCTCAAGGATTTTAGTCTTCACTGTAGACAGACTCAGACAGATGGGCCAGTCCATACGAACCAGACATCATGTGGCCTTTTGCCCCTGGTGGTACTTGCAAAACTATGAATATAACGCATAAAAACCATTGAATTGGACATTTCTTTGAGGTAGGGTCTCGCTATGTAGTTCAGGCTGACCTTGAACTCACTATGTAGCCCAGGCTGGCCTGAAGCTCAAGGCAATCCTGCCTCAGCCTTCTGAGTGTTGGGATTACAGGTGTGCGACACCACTGCTAGCTGAAGTGGACATTTTAAATGGGTGAATTGTCTGTTTTTTTTAAAAAGAGAAAAGGTTCACATGAGACATGTTTACTGCCTGACATGCCTGTAGCCCTGTCCCTTACCGAATAGGTGTGGTCCTGGAGGGGCCGGTGAGGTGCCCTTTCACCCATGACGTGACACCATGCATGCGGGCCGGAAAAAGGCATGCTACAGTTAGCGCTCTTCCTTGAAGTTGGGGTATGCCTCTGGGCAATGCTTTGGGAAATACGGTTTTTGTGCCTGGAAGGTCCTCGTGGCTGTGGTTTGCACTCTACAATAAGCCCACTGAGTCACTCGGCCTGACCCTCTAATTTGGGGGCCGCTCCCAGACCAGCCAGGCAGCACCTCAGCTCCCCCACCCCTGCCTTCCCATCCCTTCCCCCATCCTGGTCCTCAGCTCTCTTTGCAGTGTAGGAACAACCAGGGTTCCCGCTGAAGCAACACAGGGAACAGTATGTCCCATCCCTCGTGGCAGCTACTGGCGCTCCTGCCCTCTGGCCTCAAGGGGCTGGGAGGAGGCGGGTGGGGCGCGGGCAGGGTGGGGGAGGCAGGAAGGAAGAGCAGGCATTTCCTGAGGCCCCCAGGCTCCTCAGGAGGAGGCAAGGCACAGCTGTCTTCGAGGTGTGGTGTGAGGAGGGGGCAGAACCATCCCTCTTTAGCATGGCCAGCCCATGTGCGACTCGGGGACACCCCTGATGGGCCCCAGACCCCTGGCTTGGACACTTCTCCAGGGGGCTGCAAGACGTCAGTCCACTCTGCCGTCACCGGCCTGCCCCTCCTTGCCCATCTCTCTGCCTGGAAAGCCCCTTCTATTGCGTGATGGCACCAGGAACTCGGCCTGGGCAGGGACCTAGGCCATCCTCAGACCTGTGGGGGGAGCTCTGGGCAGGTGGCTTGGGCTTCTGGGGAAAGCTGTCCTGCCCCGGGCACCTGCCCTGCCCAGGCACCAGGCTAGGCTGAGCCCAGGACAGGTTCTGGGGGGTGGGAAGGGCCAGGCATGCAGAGGGGCGCGGGGCTGAGGCCGGGGTGGAAGGCGGGGCCCAGGAGGAAGGGGCTGGGCGCAGGGGAGCTCAGCCAGCTGCCACCCCTTTGGCCTCTGTGGAGAAGGACCTGGCGTAAGCTGCGGCCCGTCTTCCTGCAGCTGGCTTGCAGCTGTTTGTACCCTAGCTTCAAGGCCAGCGTGGGGAGGCCCAGGAGAGAAGTGGGGCACATGGGGGACAATCTGGGAAGCCCCTGGTCCCTTTGCGCACACAGTGCTGGCCTTTCGGAGGGCAGGGCCAGGGAACCCGGGCGGTAGCTTGGTGTGCAGAGGCGGCAGCTGCTTGTCCTGTGAGTTTCTGGGGCCTGGAAAGAAGGACCATCCAGGCCTGGGCTGTGGGGGCCTCTGCCAGCCTCCTGCACACTCTGTCCTGCCGCTTGCCTGTGTCTCCCTGGTGAGTGGCTGTTTCTTCTTGCCTGGTGTGACTCCTTCCTGTTGGCTCGGACAGTGTGGGGGCCACAGAGCCAGAGGGGAGTCCTGGAAACAGCAGGGCCAACAGCGGTCAAGGCGGGCAGGCAGCAGCTCTGTTCCCACGGAGCGTGTGCTCTGCTGCCCCGTGAGCAAGGCCCAGCCTGGGGAAGCATAACAGAACGTGGGCCAGGTGGAACGAGGGTGCCCTGGACAAAGGGCAGGGAGGGTTCCAGAGGAGGGGCCGTACCAGCCCCGAGCAAGGCATCTTTCCCATGGGGTCATGCGCACCCCTCAGCCTCCAGCACAAATGCCCAGCCAGGGACATCCCTGAGCATGTAACCCTGCTCAGAGAGCCCCTAAGCTCCGTCTTGCTTGGACCTCCTGCCCGGTACAGGGTGCTGCCTGCACCCTTGCCTGCTGTCCACACCATCAGTGGCTGAGTGAGGCAGGTGAGCGCCAGAGCCACACACTCCAGAAGGCAGCCTGCCTCCATTCGAGTGGCCAGGACACTCCCGGGGACTCTCCGGGTACAAGGGGTGGGGCTAACATGCCCAAGAGGTGGCTAAGGTGATGGTGCTGGTGAGCTGAGCCTCCACTGCCTGGAAGCTTCCCGGCACAGATAGCCCAGGCGTGGCTGGCAAAAGCTGGCAGTCTTCAGGCCAGGAGCTTTTTTTGACCTTCCCCCAGGACATAATCACACAGCATCTCTCCCCTCCGGCCACTAGGGCTGTAATTTCAGGGCCCGTAGGGGGGCTCCTGGAGGCCCGGCCTGTGTCTAGCTATCTTTAGAGGCATGGAGTGGGCGTGGTTGGAGCACGGGACAGGGCCAGAGGCTGTGCCTCAGAGCCTGGGAGCCAGAGAGTGACCTGGGGCACCAGGGACCTTGGCCCTTCCCTTGGGCCAGGAGGGCTGCGCAGTGCTCTCTGTGGCCTGTGGGGCCCAGAGGTCTGGGTCGGAGCAGGAGGGGTTAGGCCTGGGCCTGACTTCAGCCTGTGGTCTGGGTGCCTGGCACAGTCCAGTGTCTCCCAGGTTGTCCCTGTGTGCCACCTTGGTGCCAGCGGCTATGAGGGTAGCGGCTGGGACCTGTTGGAGGGAGCGGGATGTAGGAAAGGCTGGGAAGAGAGGCCAGTGGGCCAGAGAGAAGTTTAGAGGCTGGTGGGCCTGGGGCCAAGAGCAGAGGTACAAGGTCCCAGTGAGGTCCTGGGCGGGAGACAGGCCCAGCTCGAAGGAGTGCAAGGCTCCCTGTCCCTTTCTCCACCCCTGAACTTGTTAGCTTTCTGCCCTGGTCGCCACTGTCCCAACCCTTAGTCTTACCCCGTAACCTCAGCACCCCATCTCAGCCTGGGACCAAGTCCCTCCCTTTCTGCCATCTGACCCCAGGCCCCTCTGCCCTGTCACCCCCACCCTGGCCGCTCAGAGGCCCGGCCCTGTGGGGTCACATGAGCGGTCACATGCTGGGCATCCTCAGACAGCGCCAGCACCTGTCCTGAAAAGGAACACAGTGACCACCCGCCCCACGCAGATATAAGGGGGCTGTGGCCACCAGGAAGGCAGAAGCCACACTTGTTCTTGAGCTGGGCTCCACCTGGGGATGTCCCTTGTAGTGCCGGTAGACTAAGCTGGTTGGCTGCCGACCCGCCCTCCCACAGTCACAGGTCTGAAGCCCCTGGCCTCTGGCTGTCCCCCCACCCCCAGCCCTGAGCTTCTGGCTCTCTTCGGCAATCGCCTTACATGAAGGGGGCAGCTTTGTGTCAGTCACACCCATTTGCTAGTGACGACCTGAAGACGTGCAGGCTCGCCCCCGTGTCCCCACTCAGGGCCAGCCTGGCTCCAGACTACCCAGCTTTAGGGTGCGTCAGTGTGACTGCAGCCCTTCCTCTCTCTTGGCCAGGTGGCGACCCCAAGAGCGCCCTGTAAATTTCCCCAATTCAAACCTCGGGCTTCCAAAGAGGGAAAGTCACAGAAAGGCGATCTCTGCCCGAAGCTCTGCTGTCCCACGGTAACTCAAGGCCAAGCCCTTCCTGTCTGAGAGGGGGAACGGTGCGGGGAACCAAGCATGGGATACCTGTCCTCCTGCCCACCTCTTCCCCCAGGGGCCCTCTCTTCCTCTCCTCCTGCCATGTCTAGGGGAGCTCTACATTCTGGGGCACTGAAGAGGACAGGGACTGGAGGAAGCAGGAGGCTGTTGCAGGAGGGGCTGAAGTGGCCAGGCGGGGGTGGGGTGGGGTGGGGAACGCTGGGAAAACAGGGCTGCTGACCTCTGACCCAGCCCAAACAGGAAGTGCCATATCTGTGGGCCAGGACCCAGAAGAGAAGGAATGCAAGGATGAGTCCAAAGCAAACACTCCGCCAGCTTCCCAGGCCTCTTACCCCCACCCCCCAGTCTGGCCCTTTCTTAGCCGAGAAAGGGGGTGGGAGGGGGATGGGAGGATGGGCTGTGGACGGGACCAAGGCAAGACGCAGTTCCCAGTCCAGCCCAGCCAAAGCTGGTGGTAACGCGGTCTCTGCAGTGGGATATCTTCGTACCCTTCCTCCTTACATACCCACAGAGGTGGGGGCTGGTCTCTCTCCTGCCACATCCTGCCTGCCTGGCACCTGGTGCCACGGCATCATGAGTGTGGAAGCTGAGCCAGGGTCCCAAGCCCATTCCCTTAGCTTCCTGCACAGACGAGGTGACTGCCTCAGTGGCCTCAGGTCCCCGCCCAGCACAGTCTTACTGAGCTGCCACTTCCCTGTGGGTCCCAGCACACGGTGTGGTCAACACCGCAAGCTAACTGTGCTTAGGTGACAGTCAGCAACTCTGCTCAGGGGGCAGTTACTGCCAGGTCACCAGGCTGGAATTCTAGGGCCAGGCCTAGTCTTGCATAGACCAAGGGCTTAGTCCCCAGTAACTGGTTTGTTTTGTTTTTCGTAGTGGAGATTGAACCCAGGGCCTTTGCACTGAACTACATCACTGGGCCTTTTTTTATTTTTTATTGTGAGATAGGGTCTCACTAAGTGGTGCAGGCTGGGGTCAAACTTGTAATCCTCCTGCCTCTGCCTCCCAGAGTACTGGGATTACAGGTGTGTACCACCATGCCTGCCTAGCAGTATTTTCCTTATCCTGGTCCCCAGCTAGTGAGCAGTATATCCCTAGGCAAGTTACCTGCCCTCCCCACACTTTAGGCTCTTGTCTGTGAGCTATGGGTGGGGTTGACTGATATTGAGTGTGCATGGGGGGGGCCTGGATGAGGGGCCTAGGGCCTGGAAGGATGAGAGAGGGAGAGGCAAAGGTGCTCCCCCAAAGGCACACAGCAGTCCCCAGCTTCTGGTGGCTCTAAGACAGAAGGTAGGTGCCAGCCTGCACTGACAGCTGAGACCATCTGTGCTGGACTGGTGCACTTCCTGGACGCGGGTCTTCGATACCGATGGTGCCAGGAGCAACGGATGCCAGCTGCAAGAGGCTTTCTGAAGAGCTAAGGAGCCATACCCTCTGAACCCCTTGCTGATCAAGAGGGGTCTAGGGTGTGGCCTACTACCGCAGGGCAATGGAGAGCCGGGGCCTGCCATTTACATCCAGGAGGGAGAGGAGGAGCCGTGACTTGAACAAGATGCATTTATTCTGTTCATGTACAAACCAGTGCTCCCCCACCCCTGCCCTCCACTAGGCCAAAAGGTGCCTCCATTGGTCAAAGAGAGGTGGGCATATCCATGCAAGAGAGTCTGCTAAATCTTCCTCCCTGTGGTGGAAAGATCAAGTGGTGCTCCACCTGGGGAAGGCGGGCAGGGGCTATGAGCCCTCCTCCCCTTGCTGGGGCTGGAGGACCACACTGTGGTAGGCCCGGATGCAGGAGAAGGCTGTGGGTGGGATGCGGCGCCGGTCAATGAGGTTGTTCTCCAGGCGTGTGGAGATGAGGTTGGAGTCCTGGGCCACGCGCGTGTCACAGATGGAATTCAGGGGCACGTGTCTGTGATGGGGTGACAAGGCGGAGCAAGGGAGAGAAATGCCCAGAAAGGAAGGGCAAGCACCACACAGAAAGAGACAGAGAGAGCCCCCCAGGGTGAATAGACTGGTAAGATAGGGAACAGAACCTCCCAGCATAGCCACTGAGATGGACACAGAGATGGATTGGGGAGGTGGAGAATGATCGCCCCATTCCCACCCGCTGCCTCCAAAAGGCCTCTGGGAAGGCAGGGCCCTACCTGATCTTGTTGTAGCTCAGGTGCAGCACCTGCAGGCCCTTGAGGCCCAGGAGGCCACGTGGGATAGCCTGCAGCTGGTTGTGGTCCAGCAGCAGCTCGGCCAGAGAGGTGCGCAGGCCCCAGAAGGACACAGCATGGATGCCGTCGGCGCGGAGCTTGTTGTGGGACAGGTGCAGGAACTCTAGGCCGGGCTTCATGTGTGCAAACACGTAGCCAGGGATGCGCTCAATGAGGTTGTGATGCAGCATCAGGCGCTGCAGGCCCCGAGGCAGGAAGGAGGGCACGTGCACCAGCCGGTTGTGGGACAGGTCGAGGGTCTCCAGCTTCCTGTGAGGTATGGACACAGGTGCCAAGGGAGCTTGGGGCAGAGTGTCCCTGCCCAGCTGCAAGAGAGCTCTAGGGCTAGCACCCTGAATCCAGGACCGTAGGTCCACATCCATGACAGTCGCTGCCACAGCTCCTGAGTCAGGCCAGGCCAGGCCCTTCACGGCTTCTGTGGCCCCCCTCTGTGCCCTGAAGCCTGAGAAGAAGGGATTTGGATGGGGCCTTCCTTGTGCCCTGCAGAGCTGGTACTGTCAGCCCTGGGGTGGAGACGGGGACTGTGGGGGAAGGGAGCCCTGTCCCAGAACTTCCTGTGCTCTTGGGTCTGACACCTGTCAGAGAGATGCACCTAAAACCTGTCCTGTCCTAGGCCTTGGAGCCTCTCCTGTGTCCTCTCCCTGCTCAGTTAGTCAGTCTGCTATCAGCCAAGCAAGTCATAGGGCAGGGAGGGACAAATCAGACTCTCAGGGATCCCATAGCCCTCAGTGTCTGGTGGTGCACAGGGCTACTGAGAGGCTAATGGTGACATTCAGGTCGCCACCTTCTGTAGGGCCACGTGAGCCCCTAGTTGCTCCATGGTGGATCCCTGAGGCCCTGACCCCAGCCGCAAGAAAGCCGCAGTCTTTGCAGGTCTCCAAGGGCAGAATGGGCCAAAGCCAAGAAAGTGGCTCCTTTCGGTGACAGTGATATCCCCCAGCCCCTGTGGGCAGGGCCAGCCCTGCGGGCGGAGAAAAGACTTCAGCAGCACAGCTGAGGGAAGTACAGGGGTTGACTGGCAGCCAGGCCCCACTGCAGTGGGCAGCCCCTCCCAGCTGCCGTCAGCTTTCCTTTGCCCCCTTGGCAAGAGGGGGAGAGGAAAAAGGAATAATTAAACCCAAACATCCTGCTAACATTTTCCTGGAACGCGAGGATGCAAGGCGGGAGGCTCCCATCCCAGGAACGGAAGGTGGGACTGTCTGTGGACCCCTGCCTCCAGCCTGCTCCTCTCCTCACTCCAGGCCCACCCTATCTTGGTGGTCTCCAGACCCTCCTAGGCCTCTCCGCACTCCCCGCTACTCCCAGGACTCTGGCCACTATGGCAGGCCTATAAGGTTCCGGCACCCCCACCCAACTGTCCAAATGCGGGGAGTCATCCTAGACCCTTCCTGGAGTGGGGTTAATGATGGCTCCTCAAAGATATGTCTGCATACGCCCTGGGAATGTGACCTTGTTTGACAAAATGATCTCTGCAGATGTAGTGAAGGTTGGATGCAGCTGTGAGCTCATCCTGGATTACCTGGGTAGGCCCTAAACTCAATGACGGGTCCTTTTAGGAGCCAGAGAAGCCAGAGAGACACGAACCGGGCAGAGGCTGTGTGGCGACAAGAGGTAGAGATGGGAATGAAGCAGCCACAAACCACTGCGCAGTTTGGGGGCCACCAGAATCTGGAAGAGCAAGGGAGCCTTCAGAGGGAGCGTGCCCCCGCTCCAAGATTCCAGCTTTCCGGCTGCAGAACTGGGAGAGAACTCATGTGCATTCTTCAGGCTGCATGGGTTGTGGTTGTCTGTGACGGCAGCCTTAGGACAGCAGACCCTTCTCTTTGCCCTGCCTCCTCCCTCTGTGTCCCTTCCTGCTCCTGTTGTCTCATAGCTACTCCCAGCTCTCCCTGGGCCAGCTCTCCTGCCACTGCTGCCCTGCGTGGGTCTCCTGGGTGGGAGGGACACGGGGAAGGCCCTGGGAGTTGGCAGTAGCTTGGAGGGGCAGGAGGGGACTAGGGCCCCTCTGAGACTAGGCCCAAGCTACAGGTTCCCTGGGGGGCTCATGGGTCCACACCACCCTCTTGGCTTCCCCGCGTGACCCTCTGCGCTCCCTCTTGGCCTCCATGTGCCTGTTGGGGTGGTGCCCCGGCAGGGCACTCACGGCAGGTCGATCCAAGCCCGGGGTGCCAGGCGGTCCTCCTGGAGCTGGTTGTTGCTGAGGACCAGCACGCTGAGGCTGTGGCAGCCACTCAGTGTGTGCTCGGTCACCTCCTCAATGAGGTTGGTGCCCAGGTGCAGCTCCTAGGGTAGGGTGGGGGTCGGGGTGAGGGCCTGGCAGCTGGGCCAGCTTGTGGCTTTCTGGCCCACGGTTCCTCAGATGCTCCCAAGAGACATGCCACAGAGCACCACTAATGGGGGTGGCCTTCGCAGGGGCCTATGTGGCTTCCGAAGGTTACCTCCTGCTGAGGAGAGGCTCTCTGGGTTTCAGCCTTGTGAGTGACATTGGAAAGATTCCCCAGCCGGCTGCTCTGTGCCTTGCTCATTTGACTGTAATGACATCATCTCCTGTTATGGCTTGTGTCTAAGGTGTCCCTCCCCAAAGCCTCATGCGCTCATAGGTGGGGCTTTTACAGAGGTGGCTGGATCTAGAGTGTGGGATTGATTCATGGTGCAATGCTAGGATTAAGGGTGCTAGGATTGAGGGTGTGAATGTTACCTGCCCTTAATCCTGAGTGGCCTGGATAAGAAATAAGGGACAGAAAATGTCTTGCTGCTGGTGGCTTGCTTGCTTTTGCTGACTTCTGCCTGTGCTGGTTTGCCATGAGTTGTGTCTCCTCTTTGATGCCCTCTGCCATGCCACTCTGCCTTGGAGCTAGTGACTATGGACTGAAACCTCTACAAACTGTGAGCTGCAATAAACCTTTCCTCCTTTGAATTTTGGGTGTTGGGTATTTTGTCTCAGCAACGAGAAAGGAAACTAGGAGATCTCCCCATCCTGGGGGCTCCCGGCTCACCTGCAGGGAGGCTGGCAGGCCAGGAGGGATGGCCCGCAGCTGGTTCCGGTCCAGCCTCAGGTAGAGCAGCCTTTGGAAAGGCTGGAAGGCCAGGGGGGAGACATTCCCGTCATGCAGCTGGTTCCCTTCCACCTCCAGCGTCAGCAGCTGGCTGAGCCCTTGCAGCATGGGTGGAGGGGCACGGTGAGCTGTCTGCGGTGCTTCCTGGTCTGCACCTGCCTTCCACCTCCCTAGCTGCCCAGACCCCAACCCCAGGGCCAGCCCGCATGGTGCACCCCGGAAACTGCTTCGCTGCAGGCCTTGCAGGAGGTTGTCATTGAGTTTGAGCTCCTGCAGAGAGGCGGGCAAGGCTGGCACTGTGGACAGTGAGTTTCCATCCAGGTTCAACCTCTTCAGCCTGGTCAGATTCTGTGGGCAGAACAGTGAGGCTGGGGTCTGGGTGCTGCTGGTCAGAGACTAAGCCTTCCTGGGCATGGTCAAGGGGCACCCTGATTTGGTTGCGTCGTGGCTTGCAAGTTCCTGTTGGAACCAGGCCTGTTTGGGGGCTGTCTTTTGCTCCTACATGGGGCCCAGGGGTCGGTGCTGCTCCCCAAGTCCCAGCTACAGACCATGTACCCCAAATCACAGAAGCCCTCTGTGCTGGGTGCTATGCGCAGTACCCCCTCCAGGCCTGGCCCTCAGCAGCTCCACCCTGCAGCCCAATGGACGCTGTGGGCCATCCGGCCCCTCGAGGCCCAGCCCTGGGAGAGAAGGATGAGGGGCTGCGGCGCACCTTGAAGGCATGAGGGTGCAGGCCTCGGCTGTCCAGTTTGTTCTTGCTCAGGTCCAGCCATTCCAGGTTGGGCAGCCCCAGGAAAGTGTGGGCCGAGATCGTGGCGATTTCGTTCTCTGTGTATACACGGGGCAGCCATATTCCGTGCTCCTGTCCCCCTTCCCCCCGCCACTCTGAACCTCTCATTGTCTTTTTTTTTTTTTTTTTTGGTTTTTT